GGAGGTGGGTGGGGGAGCGATGCCAGGGCCTGGGGGGGTGGGGAGGATGCAGGGGGGTGCGTGTGGTGTGTGGGAACGCTGCCTCAGGAAACCAGCGGGATTTACTGGGCTACACACTAAATCCCCCTCACAAAAGGGGCCTGTTCGTGGGGACAGGATGCCGGTGGCTCAGCCACACTTGTTTGGCCAGCAGAGCCTAGCGGATTAAGGACAATTGGTTCAGCCCTGACAGAAAATACCAGGAATGTTAAACAATAAAAACCGCCTCCAGTTGTCGTGGGGCTGCGGCATGCCCCTGGCTGCCTCCCTGCCCAGCCACAGCCCCGGCTGCCCCGTAGAGCCAACTGCAGCACAGCCCACCAGCACCCACTGCTGTGGCTCTGGGGTCGCATGGGTGCCCAGGGACAGGGTGAGGACCAGCCCCCTGTGCCGGGGCAGGCAGGGGGGGAAAGTGCTGGGCCCTGCTAGGGCCCCAAAAGCGTTGCTGGGCTGGGGGGACAAGGCACTGCCTGCACCCATAGTAGGCTCACTAAGCAAGCAGGGACAAAGCGAGGCTGTGGCAGGGCCCCCCCCCCCCACGCCCCCCACCTGGAGTTAAGGATTAACAAACCCACCTCTACCTCACCCTTTGAAATTGTCTGTGGCTCTTTTCCAGAGAAAGAGCATCACCCAAGCAAGAGCCACGCAAACCCCACTGGGCATGGGGCACTGCCTGCCCCTCATGCTGGCCCCCCCAGCACAGACACCCCAGCCTGAAGTGAGGTGGGGGCAAACAGGGCACAGCCCCCAGGGTCTCAACCCCCTCCTCGTGTACCCTTTCGTGTTTACCCCTGGTCCCAGCCGGGAGCTGGGCAGCCCCCATGGGCAGCCTGGGCAGTTTGCCCTCGGCCATGTGAATGCCCCATTCAGGGCTGTGCGAAATGCATTGGTTCTGGCACATTACCGGACAGCTGGGATCCTTCCCGAGCAGGCAGGCTGCCGCGACAGGCAGGGTTCACACCTGCCCATGGGGTGTCTGCCTCTGCCTGCCTCGCTGGAGCTGGGGGCTTGTCCCAGCAGAGAAGGGAGCAGGGCTGGGGAGGGAGGCTGCAGGCACACCTATGGGACTGGGCTCCCCAAAGCAGCCCTGCAAGGGGCTGTGACAAGGGAGGGACGCTGGGCTGGCTCTGCAAACCATTGTCCTCCCCAGCACATGCACTGCAGGGCTGGCACTGCACCCATGGCTGAGCCTCGCTTCACACAAGGGCAGCTGCATCCTTTGAGAGCCTGGACCTCAGCACCATTGTGCAGAGGGCAAGACCAAGGCACCCCCACTCCAGCTGCCCTGGGGCCCAGGGCCCACCAGCCCCCCTCCCCTTGGGCTGGTTTGGGGCAGGCCATGCTGGAGAGCTGGTTTCCAGGCTGGGGGGCTGCAAGTGCAGCTGGGAGCTGGAGGAGGAAACAAGATCCCAGAGCTAATGGCCGGCCGGCAAAGCCCAGCCCTAGATGAAACCCTAGACCCAGAGAACAGGCTGGCAGGGGGGGGGGGGACAGCTGTAGCCCCCCCTGCCCGTGGTCCCAGCAGATCTGGGCACTGTGGGGCAAGGGGGGAGACAATACAGGCACTTGAGAGCAGGACCTGAGGCTGGAGCCCCCCAGTCCAGGCGCCCAGGGGTGCTGGGGCTGCAGGAAGGCAGTGCAGACCCGTAACTCACTGTTATCTGGTGTCCCAGGGCCGGCCCAGGCAGGGGGCTGCGGGGGGGGTCCCAGCGCAGGGCTAGGCCCCAGAGTGCTTTCCCAGGCTGGGAGCCCACGGCAGTTGGGGGGGATCAGTTTCAGGGCGATGCTGGTAGTGGAGTTCATGGTGGCTTAGTGCAGCAGCAGCTAATGGGGAACAGATGCGAGGGTGCTTTGTGCCGGAGCGGGCCTGGAGACACCGGAGCAGGGACATCGCTTCCTGCACCTGCGGCACTGCCTCCGTGTCCCCCGGGAGGGCCCGCAGGGCCCCGCGCTGGCTGGAGTGAGGAGGCAGCAGGGAACAGCCCCTGACCCACCTTCCCAGCTTGGCCAGGCCCTTCATCCCCCAGGAGCAGCCCAAAAACTGCGCCAGGGTCTATTCAAAAAAAATAATTTATCAGGTCGATATTTCACATACATAAATATTCATCTCTATGGCTATGTACAGAGGCAGCAGGAGCCTGGCCGGCAGTGGGGCTCCTCCCCAGACACTTCCACTGGAGCACTGGCTCAAGGCCAGCTCCCTGGGCGATGCCATCGGCATCCCAGGCAGTGCCCGCCCCAGAGGCTCTGGCTCCCGCTGCCCTGCAATGCCAGGCAGGTCCCAGCCACGGCTGAAGGCTCAGTGCTGAAAAGGAGCCCAGAGAGAGGGACATCTTGCCCCGGCGCTGCGGCTCGGGGCCCTGCCCGCCCACCACTCACACCGAGCAAAGCAGGGAACTTGCGGGAACATGGACCCGCTCCCCGGGAGTGGAGGCAGCCTCAGCATCGCCCTTCCCTGCCCGCCCTTAAGTCCTCACGCTGGGGTAGGAGAAGAGGTGGGGAGCCAGCGGCAGCGGGTCGTGGGTGAAGACGGAGTCGTCAGAGGAGCAGGAACTGGCAGTGTCCTCACAGGAAGGCGAGTACTGCTCGAAGGGCATGGAGAGGTCCAGGTACTGCAGTGAGAGACAGGGGTCAGCAGCCGGTGCCATCAAGCACCAGTGCCACCCACCCCGCTACCAACCAGCCCTGCCACTGCTCACCTCCTCTGAGACAGCCGCCAGGAT